GGACAGTGCGGACAGTGCGACAGTGGTGGGGGCACTGGTGGGAACAGTGGGGACGGTGGTGGGAACACTGGGGACAGTGGTGGTGAGGACTGTGGTGCTGGGGACAGCAGTGGGGGATGTGGTGCGGACGGTGGCAGGGACCAGGAAGTCGTTTGCTGGCGGTGAGCGTGGGTGGGGGAGGGGTTCGAACCGGTAGTGACCCCCCCCCGGTTTTCTGGGGGGGGGGTGAGGACTTCGAACCGGTAGTGACCCCCTGCGGTTTTCCGGAGGGGAGGGGGGGGGTCGAACCGGTAGTGACCTCTCCGGTTTTCGGGAAGGGGGGGGAGGGGGGGGAGGGGTTCGAACCGGTAGTGAACCCCCCGGTTTTCGAGAGAAGGGGGGGAGAGGGGGAGGTTTCGAACGGGTGGTGGGACCCCCCCTGGTTTTCGAGAGGGGGGGGGTTCGAACCGGTAGTGACCCCCCCTGGTTTTCGGGAAGGGAAGGGCGGGGGGGGTGGGGTTCGAACCGGTAGTGACCCCCCCCGATTTTCCGGAAGGGGGGGGGGAGGGGTTAGGGGGAGGGGGGTTTTGCCAGGAGGGAGGAGGGGGGAATTTTCCACAGTAAAGCGGCGGTGGACTCGTGGACCACGCTCTCTCTGAGTAGGGGACAGTGAAAAACCTTTCGCCGAAGGGGAAGAAGGGGGTTTGAAGAGTAAACGCCCTAAGCTACTCACGCCGTGAAGGGCTGGTAGGATTTCTTGGATCGGCGCTGGAGGCGCGCCCCGCGCCGCTGGTGCCGCCCCTGGCGCGCTCCACGCGCCAGGGAGGGGAGACCACCGCCGATCCAATGAATCAGCGCGGTCCTCCAAACATATAATTTTGACGCATGGCGGGTAGCGGCGCATCGGACCAGCCACGGCCCGTGAGTGATTGCCTGTGCGCCATAGGCCGCCTGTGCTGGACAATAAGGAAGACCACCGCCTTGACATGAAACACAAACGCAAACATGAAATTTCTGAGGTCTGCGCACATTAATCGGATTGGCGCTGGAGGCGCGCACGGCGCCTCTGGTGCCACATCTGGCGCGCTCCGCGTGTCAGGGAGGGGGCCCGGCCCCGATCCCAAAACATCAGCGCGGTCCTGCGGAAGTTCATGTTGCATAGCGGTTGGCGGCAAGTCGGACCACCGTGGCGCTCCCAAGGCGCGCTCAGGGGAACCCACGGCGCCCCCGCTTGCTTTCTTCGAATGAGTGAAGGCAGGAGGAGGAGGAGAAGCAAGGGAAGGAGGAGGAGGAGGAGGAGGAGGAGGAGGAGGAGGAGGAGGAGGAGGAGGAGGAGGAGGAGGCGGAGGAGGCGCAGGAGGCGGAGGAGGCGGAAGGCGGAGGAGGAGGCGGAGGAGGAGGAGGAGCAGGAGGAGGCGGACGAGGACGAGGAGGAGGAGGAGGAGAAGGAGGAGGAGGAGGAGGAGGACCACCGCAATGGCATTCAGCATGAGCATAAGCTTCTGGGGGTCCGCGCGAATTTATCGGACCAGCGCTGGATGCGCGCCCAGCGCCGCCAGTGCCACCCTTGGCGCGCTCCGCGCGCCAGGGGGGCAGTCCACCGCCGATGCAATAGATCAGCGCGGTCCTCCAAAATTGATCTTTGCGCATGGCTGTTCGCGGCGCGTCGGAACAGCCGAGGCCCGTGAGCGATTGCTTGTGCGCCATAGTCCGACATGACGGTGCGTGAATTCCAAGCAGTGAAAGAGGCGCAAAGGTTGATTGCCAGCACAGCTCGCCCCCATGGTGCACAGAATTTGTGCCTAAACAGTCAAGAGCAGACCAGATGATGAACGTGTGATACACGTGCGTGCCCTTCTGTGTGTAACGGTGCCATGCCCTGATGCCGTGGTGATCCCCTTGCGCGTTGAGTTGCGGAACCATTCCGGACAACATTGTGTGCGTTGTGAGACCCGAAGATGGCAGAGGCGGCAACCTTTAGACAACGAATCAAGACAGGAGTAAACGAGCGAACGCGAAACGAAACCGAAACCTAACAAAACGAAAGGAACCGCATGTCTCTTCGAGTTTTCTATTTCACCTGGCCACCATGCCCACAACAGCAACGGCGGCGGCGACGAAGACTACGACGGGGACGGCGGCGGCGGCGGCGACGACGAGCGCCTCTAAGATGATGACCCCCGCGACGACGACTACTATGACCGCAACGACGGCGGCGGCGGCGGCGACAGCGACAACGAGCACCACCACGACAATGAACACCGCGACGGCAGCGGCGACGATGTCAGTTCGTCTGGTGTCAATTCGTCTGGCGTCATTCTTTCTGGTGTCAATTCGTTTGGTGTCAGTTCGTCCAGCGTCATTACGTCTGGTGTCAATCCTTCCAATGCCAATTCGTCCGGTGTCAGTTCGTTTGGTGCCAATTCGTCCAGTGTCAATTCGTCGGGTGTCAGCTCGTTCTGCGTCAATTCGTGCGGTGTCACTTCGTCCAGAGGCACAATGTGTTCGGTTTCAGTTCGTCCGGCTTAAATTCTCCGGACGGTGCTTTCAATGGGCACTACAGAGCAAAGGAATCAACCACAGCAACAGCAAGCGAAGCGAGAACGGATGGAACGAAAACGGACGAAACGAAAGTGGACGAAACGAAATTGGACGAAACGAATGGCGGGCGAAACGAAATATGACGAAAACAAAGAGGCCGAAACGAAAGGTGGACGCAATGAAAGACGGACGAAATGACAGACGACGAAACGAAAAAGGACGAAACGAAAGAGGACGAAACAAGGCGAAATGAAAACGGACGAAATGAACGTCCATCGCCTCTGGGGCCCCATTTGGGGCCTCCTGGGGGCCGCTCGATGGGTCTTTTGCAAGTCTCTTGTGTTTTTTTGGGGGCCTCTTACTGGCTCTTGGGAGGCCTCTTGGAGCGTCTAGGGTGCATTTGGCAGGCCTCCAGGGCCTTTTTGGTGTCGCCTGGGGGTCTCTTGGGGGCCCCTCGGGGGCCCCTAGGGAGCCTCTTGGGGTCTCCTGGCCGCCTCTTGGGGCCATCTTGGGGCTCTCTGCGGGCCCTCTTGGGGCTCTCTTGGAAGCGTTTCGGGCCGTCTCGGGGCCGTCTTGGATTGGAGGCCGTCAATCAAATAGGTGGGGGCGCCGACTAGCCCCGCCCCCCCAGGAGGTCAAACTCGATCCCTAACACATGTAACCTCGACGATTTTGGCCTTTTCCCCGGCACGAGCTTGAACGCCCTGAGACTCGCGGGACCCCCAGCTCTGGCCAGGGCTCATTCCGCGCTGCCCAGTCGGTGACGCATACAGTCAAGACGCTCCAAGCGACGACCATGTTTGTTTCAGGGGAGCCTCTGGTTCACGGGCCGTTCCCGAGATCCAGGTCGGCCAGCCTAATCGGGGCCGAGGCTCGCCCTTGCCAGAAAGCCCCGTTCGTCCCTCTGTTTCCAGGGGGGCCGGGCCAGCGCACCAATGCATTTCGCCTCGGACAGCGTCTTGCTTCTCGACGGGGGTGCGTGCTGATGCGCCCAGGCGAGCAGACGCTGGGAGCGATGACAAGCGCGCGGTTGAGGGTCAGGGCCGGGGCTGTTGCGAAAGGGCATCCAGGCAAACGAATCTCAGGGACGGGAGGAAATTGAGTTGTTCATGTTCTTAGGAACATTTTCTCCCATAGACAGATTACCGGGCCCCTGCGAGCCCCCAAGAAGTAGCTTTCATTATCGTAGCACGACGATTGTATTCTCGTGGGGAGGATCCTCAGAGGGCCCGGGGACAGGGGACCCTAACCAGACCCGAAAGGCGTGATTCCCTAGGGTTGGTCAGTGATTGCCCCCTCGCGGGGACTTGGCCCAAACAAGCCTAGATTGCTCCCTGTTCCTTGGGCTGGTCAGAGTCTTCTTTTTTGAAGAAACGACGGCATTTGCAAAGACTTTCGGACTTCGCGCTGGTTTCTTGGATCGGCGCTGGGCCCCCTTGGTGGCGCCTCCCTTGGGGAGGGGGTTCCTGCGACGATCATCCATGAATTCCGCCGGGACCTCCGAGAGTTGCTGTTTATTATGTCCTTGTCTGTTCTTCTATGGATGCGGTATCGTCTTCCTGTTCTGAGCATCGGCTCGTCTCCCCCTGTCGCGTAATGTCGCGACACTTCGCCGTAGCCTGATCGTTTCCACCCGGTTTGCTTGCGGACTTGTGCTTTGGCGACGATACGTGAGCAGAAAGCCCCAAGACGGCCCCAAGCCCCCCCCCCAGGATGGTTTCAAGAGGGCGTCCGAGTTGTCTGGGGTCGGAGGATCGCGCTGCATCGCTGAAGCATCGGCGATGCGTCGCCGATGCCTCGCCGATGCGGCGCCTTCCTCCGACTCCATCGGCTCTGACCCCATTTTGAAGGCCTCAATCCAAATCGGGGACGTTGTCTCCAGAGCCATCCGGAGTTGTCGCCAAGATATTCTGGATGACCCAGAGTGCTCCCCGAAGGCCCCAAGACGAGTTATGGGAGCGCTTCCAGTTCTGGTTCTGGTCGACGTTGGTAGCTCGGGCGCGTAAGTCCATGCCACATTCATCTAGCACATTCCTGGACGCGACACCTGCACGTATGTGCACACGTGTTCACTCTCGCTCTTTGACCAAGTTTCGTCGCGCGAGCGACCCCGCGTGTATGTTTGCGTTTTTTATCGAACCACTCTCGGGGGAAGTCTTGCGGCGAGGGTGGCAGGGGAGCCCTGACCTGTCTTGGCGGGGGTGGGGTTCTGGCGGCACTACGCGCCGGTCGTTGAAAGTACGCAGGTTTGGATTTCCAGATTCCACTCTACTTTAGGCTCCTTCCTACTTCAAGGATCGAGTGGCTTTACTTTTTCCTTCGTCTTTAGGGGGTGGGCGGGCGGAAGCACAATCTACTCCCAACGCCTTCCTACTTCATGTTTCTACCCTCTTCTTACGACCGACGTGTACGATGATACTGTCGATGCTTCCGCCGATGCTGCAGTGCCTCCTTGTCCCGATGCTGCCACCCGTCGAGGCCTTCGGCATCTCCCTGAGCACCCTGCTGTGGACATGAGGATTGTGCCGAATGTGCGTGGTTTGGCGCGCGTCGCGCGCCGCGCGCCTTTTATAGCGAGCACGAGAATTTACCACGGGGGCCAACGGCGAGGTGCCTGCATCGCCCAGAGGGCTGTAGCGCTTCACTCTCGTGCATCCCACCTTACCTTGCCCCACTTTCTCCTCCGCCTCCCACCGACGTCGCCGCCGTCGTCGTCCGTCGTCCCTCGTGCGTCGTGCGTCGTCCGTCGCCCGTCGTCGTCGTCGGTCGTCGGTCGTCGGTCGTCGGTCGTCGGTCTTCGGTCTTCGGTCGTCGCCGTCGTCGTCGTCGTTTTCGTCCGTCATTCCTTGTCCGTCGTCCTGCGTCCGTCGTCGCAGCCGTCGCTGTCGTCGTCATCGTAGTCTGTATGGGGGTGTTTTTCCAGGTGTTTGTGGTCTGTCTGTAGTCGTGCCATGTGGTGATCGTTATCTTAAATATTCAAGGCGTCGGATATGCATTCTCTGGGAAGCTGGAAAGTCGAAGAGGTTGGTTGGAGCGCCACCCAGTTCGCAAAGCGCTGGACTGAGAGACATCTGATGGAGGCAAGGGATTTGGTTGGGATGATATCTCTGATGTGCTCACGTTCGTATATGGATGAATATGTTCAGAAAGTTGTGCCACTGTGCGTCCAATGGGAGAAGGCATTCTTCGAAGAGATGGGAATACGGAGCGAAGATATCCAATCCGACTTGAAAAATAGCCACCACAGTTTGGCCGACATGCGCGGTCGTGCCAGCTAGCAGCTGGAGTCACCAGCGTCATGCGGCACTCGGGGCCACTGGTGAGGGATTCGGAGTTGCGTATGGCAGATTCGCATACCGTGGAGGCTGAGCTACTCAGAGACAAGGATGCCTTTTTCAGCTGCTACTTTAGCACAGGCTATACACGTGCATGTGGAAAGAGCTCGAGTCTGCTCTTCGAGCAACAGATGGTGGCCGCGTGGGAGGTCAGAACAGGTAATGGCGTATCGCCGGTCTGCAGCCTGCAGTGAGTGTTACTTTAGCTGCAATGTAGTGGTTTCTCATTGCAAGCTTGCTGACATTAGTCACCGTCACCTCTGGATAAAGCTGTCCTTGAACACCATGCTGGAAAGTCTCTACTGATGGAAACCGCGATGTTACATACAGCGTTTCTTGGGCGCGAATCAGATACGACACGGCCAATGCCACCGTATCGTGCAACTCTTCCACCCCAGACCACCCAGCGGAGGCAACGAAGTACATACATGCACCAGCATGTAATCAAGCTTGTTGCTGGATGCTTTGCGCTTGGCTGCGTTTCATTCGTAGACTGATTGCGAGACCCATTCGAGGCTGTTGCGCTGTCGTAGTCGTCGTCGTCGTCGTCGTCGTCGTCGTCGTCGTCGTCGTCGTCGTCGTCGTCGTCTCTTTCTTTCTTCCTTTCTCTCTGTTTGTCTCTCTCTCTCTCTCTTTCCCTCTCTCTTTTTCCACCTCAATATCTTCACTCTTTTTGATCCCTCTTTCTCTCTCTGTTTCTCCTCTCCTTTTTTCTCTATCTCTCTCTCTCTCTCTTTCTCTTTCTCTCTCTCTCTCTCGTTTGGTGTTTTTTTTCATAATGTTTTTTAATATCCCTCTTTCATATATATATATATATATATATCTTTCCTTCTCTCTCTCTCTCTCCCCCTCTTTCCTTCTCTCCCTCTCTCTTTCCGTCCTGTTCTCTTTATTCATATATTTCTTCATATATGTTTATTTATGCTATTTTGATATCTCTCCATCTCTCTCTTTCGTTCTTTTTTTTTTTCTCTCTCTCTCTCTCTCTTGTGTTGGGTCCTCGGTTTGAAGAGACAGCGCCCCGCGTCCCACCTCCTCCTCTCCTCCTCCCCTCCTCCCCTCTCATCGGCATTATCATCATCACCATCATCACCATCATCATCATCATCATCGTCGTCGTCGTCGTCGTCGTCGTCATCATCATCACCATCATCATCGTCATCCCCTCCCCCATGAGGAGCTCCACCGAAGGCCCCAGTGGCACAGTTCGCATGCGTCCTCCCCGCCCACCGCAGGCCCATTGTTGCACACCCCTCACACGGTTCGTGGCCCCATAGGGAGCTCCACCGAAGGCCCCAGTGGCACAGTTCGCATGCGTCCTCCCCGCCCACCGCAGGCCCATTTTGGCACACCCGTCACACGGTTCGTGGCCCCATAGGGAGCTCCACCGAAGGCCAGTGCCACAGTTCGCATGTGTCTTCCCCGCCCACCGCAGGCTCATTTTGGCACACCCCTCACACGGTTCGTGGCCCAATAGGGAGCTCCACCGAAGGCCCCAGTGGCACAGTTCGCATGCGTCCTCCCCGCCCACCGCAGGCCCAATTTGGCACGCCTCTCACACGGTTCGTGGCCCCATAGGGAGCTCCACCGAAGGCCCCAGTGGCACAGTTCGCATGCGTCCTCCCCGCCCACCGCAGGCCCATTTTGGCACACCCCTCACACGGTTCGTGGCCCCATAGGGAGCTCCACCGAAGGCCCCAGTGGCACAGTTCGCATGCGTCCTTCCCGCCACCGCCGCCCATTTCGGCGCGCTCCTGGCACACCCCTCACACGGTTCGTGGCCCCATAGGGAGCTCCACCGAAGGCCCCAGTGGCACAGTTCGCATGCGTCCTCCCCGCCCACCGCAGGCCCATTTTGGCACCTCTCACACGGTTCGTGGCCCCATAGGGAGTTCCACCGAAGGCCCCAGTGGCACAGTCCGCATGCGTTCTCCCCGCCCACCGCAGGCCCATTTTGGCACACTCCTCACGCTGTTCGTGGCCCCATAGGGAGCTCCACCGAAGGCCCCAGTGGCACAGTTCGCATGCGTCCTCCCCGCCCACCGCAGGCCCATCTTGGCACACTCCTCACACGGTTCGTGGCCCCATAGGGAGCTCCACCGAAGGCCACAGTGGCACAATTCGCATGCGTCCTCCCCGCCCACCGCAGGCCCATTTTGGCACGCCTCTCACACGGGTTATGGCCCCATAGGGAGCTCCACCGAAGGCCCCAGTGGCACAGTTCGCATGCGTCCTCCCCGCCCACCGCAGGCCCATTTTGGCACACCCGTCACACGGTTCGTGGCCCCATAGGGAGCTCCACCGAAGGCCCCAGTGGCACAGTTCGCATGCGTCCTCCCCGCCCCACCGCAGGCCCATCTTGGCACACCCCTCTCACGGTTCGTGGCCCCATAGGGAGCTCCACCGAAGGCCCCAGTGGTACAGTTCGCATGCGTCCTCCCCGCCCACCGCAGGCCCATTTTGGCACACTCCTCACACGGTTCGTGGCCTCACAGTGAGCTCCACCTCAGGCCCCAGTGGCACAGTTCGCATGCGTGTGGCACACCCCTCACACGGCTCGTGGCCCCATAGGGAGCTCCACCGAAGGCCCCAGTGGCACAGTTCGCATGCGTCCTCCCCGCCCACCGCATGCCCATTTTGGCGCACCCGTCACACGGTTCGTGGCCCAATAGGGAGTTCCACCGAAGGCCCCAGTGGCACAGATCGCATGCGTCCTCCCCGCCCACCGCGGGCTCATTTTGGCACGCCCTTCACACTGTTCGTGGCCCCATAGGGAGCGCGGCGAAGATTATATGCACAATGGCGGCATTCAGAGCTGCATATGGTTGGGTCCTTCGCCAGACTGATTTCTCTCTCTCTCTCTCTCTCTTGTCTCTCTGTACCTCTTTATTTTTCACTTTGTATACCCGTGCTTCTATACATGTGTGTATATATATATATATATAATCGTTCACACAGATGTATGGAAAGTTAAGTGTCCATGTTTGGGTATACATGATAGCGCACTTTCATAATTTCTCCGCACTATCTATCCAGTCGCATCCTTCTTCATTCATACACATCCATCCACTCGAGCGCGTTTTCCCGATATCGTCTCGCCACTGCCTCCATGTGGAACCCTCCCGCGAGGGTCTCCTGCTCTTCGTGCAGGTCCCCAGTGCTGACCGCTCCCTCGCGCCCGCCCGGCCTGCTCCAGTTCCATGTCCCCTCCTCCCTCTCTGCCTTCCCGTTCCCTCCGCACCCGCATGCGCATTTTCGGCCCCCATCCCCGTCTCCCCTCAACACGAATTGGCCTGGCAGACATGAAGGAGAACTCGGGTTACATCCCCAGTGGGCTTTTGGACGCCCCCCCATCGAGGATGGAGCCCCCTATCGATTTTCCCCGAGTTGGGCTCGAAACTTTTGGTCCAGTCGAAAACCCTACGACGTCGGAGATTCGGGTCGCCACGTCCTTCGTTATGTACTTCCACCATCCTCATCCCCCACCTTGTGCCCTCCTTCTCCCCTTTCTTCCGATCTGGTTTCCCGCCGCGCCTCCGCCGTGTTTCCTTGAGAGGCCGGCGCTCTAGGGCTCTTGGCCGCTTAGGAGCTGATCGTTTGAGTCGGCTCAGCTGAGAGCTGCGTGTTTCATCCGCTGCCTGGACTGGCGCGCCGCGCGCCGGGAATGAGGATCCCGCCGCGTGGCGCGTGGCACCTGCTGCCTCTCAGCCTCGGGGGCGCCAACCGTACACCTGCACGATCCTGGGCCAGGAGAGCGCCTGCACTGGTCCGGGGCCTTCCTGGGGGCCACCTAACGGATCTGTTTGACTCCAGATCGAATATCGTTTGACTCTAGTTCGACTCTAGCTCGACTCATGCTCCACTCAAGTTCGACTTAGTTCGACTCAAATTCGACTCAAGTCGACAGACGTTCGACGCAGCATCGACGCATGAGTGGAGCGAGTGGCTCCAGGAAGGTTCCCAGACCGAGCACCTGAGGTGTGGGTGTGAAGTTGGTGTCCTCTCGCAAACTGCCTTTCATCGAGGCCGGGCAAACGGTGTGGCCTGTCAGTGGCGTGGTCCGGATCCTGGTTCTTGCGGTAGTCCGCTTCCGATGAGGGAATTGGCCACGCAAAGCAGACCCACAGACCAACCTCGCGGTATTGCACCGCGCCGTCAGCGGGGCGCATCGTTTGCCCGCCTTCAGTCTCACCTGGACAGTCGCGCTGGGAGCGAGCGAGGGCCCCGGCGGTCGGTCGGACCATCGTTCGGAGAGCGCCGCCGCCAGATCGCTCTTGTACAGTGTCAGTCTCCCCGGCCAGCGCGGGCGCATCGCCTTTTCGCGTTGCCGCCGCGCCCTCGGGCTCGCACAGGACGGCCCGCGCGATGCTCGGCTGCGAGCGAGGGGGGGACATGAGAAGGAGGAGGCCTTCTCAGACGGTGGCGGGGCTTCCCAGACGCACTCGCGCCTCCTCGGGAGCTTTCGAAGCCTGCAGGGAAGGCTCATACAACTTCTGAGAAGGCCGGAGGGAGGAGGAGGAGGAGTCTGAGGAGGAGGAGGAGGAGGAGGAGGAGCAGGAGGAGGAGGAGGGGGAGGAGGAGGAGGAGGAGGAGGAGGAGGAGGAGGAGCAGGAGTTGGAGTTGGAGGAGGAAGGAGGAGGAGGAGGAGGAGGAGGAGGGCGGAGGAGGAGGTCGAAGGAGGAGGAGGAGGGAGGAGGAGGAGGAGGAGGAGGAGGAACTTCTGAGTCTTCCGAGAAGGCCTTCTCCTTCTCACTCTCCCCCCCTGGGCTCGCCGCCGAGCTGCCTCTGTGGTGGCCTCCGCACGTCCTCGATCGGCCGGATGCTCTTCGGCCAGGGAGCAGCACCGCGTGCCATCCGTCGCGAGCTGCTGCCGTCGGCGCTCGAGCTCTCCCCCACCCCAGCGGGAGCGGCGGGCGTGGCAGGTGCGGAGGGTCCAGGCGAGGGCGGGCGGGGGCGGGGGGGGCGAGGGAGGGGAGAGGAGGGGCAGGGGGAGCGGAGGTGCGGGGGAGGAGGGGGGGGGATGATGGATGAAGGGCAACGACCCCCAACCGCCCACTAATCGCCGATAGGGGCCCACTAGCCCAGTCCCGCCCAGGAACGTTCGGATTCGCTGTCGGGGGCCGAACGCCGATCCATCGGCGATATGTCGCCGATTCTAGGTCGATGTGTCCCCGCCCATGCCTATCCCCCTATCGTTGCCCCTCAGGGCGTGTGGGGGCATAAAAGGAAGGCGGAGGGGAAGGGGAAGGGGATGGGGAGGGGAGGGAACGAGGGCGGGAGAGGGGCGAGGCAATGATGAAGTTATGAAGTTGGTCTCGGCGACTTGTGAGCTGGAGAAGCCGAGCCCGAGAGGCCCAGCTTCGCGCTCTTGAGGGGATGCCCAGAGGAGATTCATGATTGAAGACAGGGGGGGGGTGGTGGTTGCAGGCATGGGCGTCCCCTCCGTTCCCTCCGTGCTGCGCCCGCGAAACGCAGGAGCACAGGAGCGAGCTCGGGTTGGGAACTTCTGTCCCTCTCCCGTCCCCCTCGTTCCCTTTCCCCTCTCCTTCCTGTTTACCTCGAGCGCGTGCGGCTTCTGCGGTCATTTTAGACACTCTAAGGTCTGCCTGTTCGAATTTTTGGGCTCGCTGTGTTGTTGCTGTTCGAGTGAGGGGAGGGAGGGCGGGCGAGGTGCGATGCACTGGTGAAGTTGGTCTCGACTTCGATGCCGACAATGGCGGCGGCTACGAATATGGTGACAATGTTGGCGAGTAATTACGTCCATAATCCAGTTGGAGTGCACGAATCATTAACGCGGAAAGGGGCACGACCAGGATACCCACAGAGGCAATAATCAAACGGATGCGATACTGATAGTGCTGGTAATGGTAGCAGCGGTCGTAAAACAAATGCAACGTAGGCGTGAGCGGTCAGTACGATATGTGCACGCGTTTTCCAGATGGGCTTGCCAAGGACGAGTGGCCTATGCTTTAGTCGGAGTTGCGCATGTCTGGTGCGCATGCGGGTTGGCAGGTTGCGCATGGAATCCAGTGCGAGCATCTTGTTGTTTTCCTTTCTTGCTTACTTTTCTGCATCGCCGTCATCATGTTCACGCGTGAACTTCTGGGCCATCGTCACGCACCCAGAATTCACACTCATCAGTACCACCATGATACCTTCGTCAGTGCGAAGTCAACGCTGGCGAAAACATGTCAATGACACTGGCAGTGACGCGCGCGCATGTTTGTCTGTAGCAGGCGCGATGATGTTTGCTGGTGCTTCAGCTCGGCGGCCAGTCCATTGCAGGTTATCCAGGCTCCCTTGCCTCAGCACCTTCGAGCCGAAGTGCCTACATGTCGCGCCATCCTTTGGCCTCTCGTTGTTTAATGTAAACATAGCTACAAGCGATGCTGCCAACTGCCTGCCTCTATAGTTTCGCGTACGCTCATGTCCGGCTTTTGCATTTGTTTTTTCTGATCAATCTGCCACCTCGGGCTGTTTGCCAGGCACCACGCCGCTGCCTCTATCCTTCCCCGTTCCCTCTTCCCCTCGCCCTGTTTGATACCTCTCCTCCCATTGGGCTGTACTGTCGTGTCCTGCCGCCAGCGTGGGTTCCTTGCGGTGGCGCTCTCGTCGGCTCGGTATTGCGCGGCGGCTCAACCCAGCACCTGATGGCCACTTCGTCGCTTTGGCGGCCCGCAGCACAGCTGTTCCGCCCCCGGCGGTACGGCTCCGCCCGTCTCACCTGGAGGCATTACTCGTCACACCAATTTTGTGCCGTACTTTCCTGGTCAGCGCTCTGTGCGCCGCCACATATTGGCCATTCCTTGACAAACGAGGCGCTGTGGCGTATCCCAGAAAGTCAGTGCAACCCCGATGGCGCCCTCGTCTGCCCGTCAGCGTTGTTGGCACTTTGAAGGTGTTTCCCTCCCACGGATCCGTCACATTGACTTCGCTGCACTATGTGTCTGTAAACATGCACATTTATGCTTTCAATATAGCCCAGTGAGGGAGGCCTGTGCTCCAGGCCAGGGACATCGAACCCCCATAGGGATGCCGAGGTTCTCCTGGTGTGTCGCCGAATCCTTTAAGGGATCCCGGCGCGCCCGGGACAGTTGGCGGGGGGCCCACGGGAGCCCGAATACGATTACAAGATGGTTAACTTAGACCCCAAAATGGCCAATACGGCTCTGAGAGCATCGAAGAGAAGCTCGCTAGAAACCCCGAGACGGCTTCAGGAGACTGCTGACAGGAATGCTGAATGCTTACGGTTGTCGACGAGTATCAGATGTCCCACCCTTTCGGGCCTCAGAGCGTCCAAGGCAGGCCAACAGGCTCCGCAAGGACCTCTTAGAGCTCCAAGAGCGGTCTCTGGGGGATCCTAGGGCTCGGAGGGGCGCGCCCGGACCGGCGGGGGGGCCCGTGGGAACCCGAAGATGCTTCATAGATTGCCAAGGCAGGCCTCAGAAGGCCCCGGGAGCGTCGAAGAATTTGTCCAAAGGCTCCGAGTTGATGCTCCAAGGTCCGCGACAGGCAACACCCGTCAGCTTGCCTCAGGTTTTTCAAGTATTTTTCGGTTTCACTGCGTCCACGGCAGCGCAAGACGCCTCCAATATTGTCCCAAGACTGCCAAGAAGGGCCCGCGGGGCTCCCCAGTGGTCCCTTGAGAACCCCAAAAGTTTCTGGGGGGATCCTTGGGTCTCGGAGGGACGCGCCTGGGGTAGTGTCTGTCAGTTCGGTTTGCCCCCCACCCTCGGGCAACAATTCGGTTTGTCCCTCAACGGACTCGGAGACGATGAGGCCCCATGTGATGAGACGTTCACTGGGCGTGCCCTCGAGAGGGCTTCAAGCGTGTCCAGAAGGCTGAACGGTCTCACAGTATTCGCCTGAACATGGTTCCAAGATCAGAGTGAGGGGGCCGAACGGTCATTTGCCATCCCTGGGCGCGTGGATTAAGTCGGTTTTTGCCGTGCGTATTTTTGTTGCGTTGTTACGTTGTTGCATGGTTGCCGTCGTTCTCGCCCGCGACCCGCCCGTGACCCACCCGCGACCCACCCCGCGACCACCGCACGACCCACCACGCGACCCACCCTGCGATCCACGTGCGACTCACGTTGCTTCGACGATCGGCGGGCACGTTATGTAAAACGTGTCAAAAAAATCGGCGCCTGCGGCGGGCTCCTTCAGAGCTTAGCTGACTGCCGACGACCCCGCCGCCCCCTCAATCTTATCCGCGGTTGCGGGGGGCTACTTACTTCGGAAAACCCTTGGTGCGCCGAAAGATTCGCGAAGAGGCCCCCAAACGATCCCACGAAAAGAACTCACAACGCTCCCGAAGGGGGCCTCCAAGGCGCCCCCCAGAAGTCTCCAAGAGCCCCTTCAAAGTTCAAAGTCCTCTAAATGCGCTCAAGAGGGCCCCCATACGCCCCCAAGAGGCCTCGAACGATCCCAGAGGGTCCAACAGGCCTTTAGAACCCGACGAGGCCCCGAAGAGACGTCCGAGTCGCCACTCAGGCAGCCAAGCTAAGTCCCCCAGATGCCCTGGACGGACCACAGCCAACCCCAAGGAAGCTCCTAGCACACGAACGGGCAGGCCAAGTAGAAGCAAGAGGAGGAGAGAGGCTTCTCCGTTCATCGACGTCCTCCTGATGTCGCCCTCGTCCATCTTCCTGCTCCGTCGCCGCTCCTCCCAGAATCGTTGCTCCCCCTGGTGCATCCTTCCCCTCTGTTTCTCCCCATATCAAGCATCCCTCCTTTTCGTGCCCCCTCGCTCCTCGCCGTGCCAGTGCATGGCTAGAGCCCAATTGCGCACGCGAAGGACCTATATTCACACACACACACACACACGTGCGTAGACTGGCTCCCCTACACAGTGCTTGCACTCGGGAGCTCGTAGTTTTGTTCCCTGCGTTATTTGGTTGGGTGCGCCAGGATTTCGGCTGGTGCCCAGCTGGCGGGCGCTCGGGGGCGCTTCGTGGGCGCCTCGTGCTGGGCGGGGGCGCCGAGGTTTGCCCTGGCGGGCGCCCGCGGACGCTCGTGGGCGTCTCGTGCGTTGGGTGGGTCCGCCGAGGTATCGCCTGGTGCCCGTGGGCGCACCGTGGGCGCCTCGTGGGCGCCTCGTGCGCTGGGGGCAGTTTGTGCCGAGGTTTCGCCCGGTGCCAGCGCGTGGGCGCCTCGAAGGGCGCCTCGTGGGCTTGGGGTGTGTGCTGAGGCTTCGCCTGGCCGCCCGTGGGTGCCTCGTGGGCGCCTCGTGCACTGGGCCGCCGCAGAGACAGAGCACCACGTGGCCTTTACGGCATACCCTGCACCACGTAGGTTGCACCACACAGCTTGCACCACACAGCTTGCACCTCGGCGGCGAGCGAGGGGGGGAAGTGAGAAGGGGCGGGCCTCCTCGGAAGGCTCGGAAGTCCCCCGGCCTTCTGAGAAGTTTTCTAAGCCTTCCCCGAAGACGCAGACAACTCTCAGAAGGCGCGAGGGCTTCTGAGAAGTCCAGCCGCCTTCCGAGAAGGCCTTCTCCTTCTCATTTCCCTCGCTCGCTGGCCGCCAAACACCGCACAGCTTGCACCACACAGCTTGCACAGCTTGCACCGCATATATTGCACCGCCCAGCCTACATGACACATCCTACACTACATAGCTTGCACCGCATATCTTACACCAGACAGCTTGCACTACACAGCTTGCACCGCGCGTATTGTACTGCCCAGCCTACATGACATATCTCACACTACTCAGCTTGCACCGCATAGCTTGCACCACATATCTTACACATCATGGTCTGGCCACATGTTTTCAACGACGTAGCCTACACCCAGCTCGCACTACATAGCTTAACCATCCTACAGTGCACTACCTTATCGTTTTTGGGTCCACGTTTACACACCACTTGTATGCATGTGCACATGGATACAGCTATATCGATGT